AAAAAAAAAATTAATAAATAATATAATTTATGAGTCTATCAAATGTGGTAATTGCTTTAACCTGCACGTAACAAAGTTTATATTTGTAATATTGCTAACGAGTAGCGCCTAATAGAAGAAACTGTCACGTTTAAAAATTACTCAAGCCTACAGAATCTAGTAACCCCATTCTACTCTTGAATCTAGATTCAAGTCCATCATTGATTGTACCAAATCTTTCTGGTAAAGAAAATTTTATCTGTGTTTTAGTCTCCCTGTGTGTGTATGCGGCGAATTAACCAAATATTATACAACAGAATTGTCTCGTGTTTATGATTTTTTTCTTCTACATGCTCGACTTTAAATTGTTTATTCTATAATTGATTGCAATTAATGGCTAGGGTTGTTGTTTTGCCTTTCTTTAAATTCTTGGAAATTTGAAATATAAAGATTGTTTATGAAAGAGGAGGGTTTTTGATGCTGGACATGTATGTAGGTAAAATGGAAAACTCAAATATGAATCCGAACCTGGAAGTGACTCAGCTTCCAGAAGCGGATTCATTGCCAGATGGGTTTGTGGACAGCTTCTCGGCAAAACCATTGCTGCCGGGAACTGCGGTTCCTGAGCAGGAAGTGACTTATAAAGAGGAGAAATTAGTGGAACCCGGTTTGCTAGCCGAAGTAATAAATGACGGCATGAGTACATCTCCGGCTAAATCACAGGAAGCTGTGGGCAATGAAAATGAACAAGCAGTAACCCCGGAAGGATCAACGAATGATGGGGCATCTCCCGGAAAAGGACACGTTGAAGAGAAATGTAATTGTTTCATGTTATTTACATCTGCTGGATTTTTATTAAATGCAGTTATATAGTTTCTTGAATAAGAATTGTTTGACACGTGCTTTATGACTGGGTAGACTGTAGAGGGCTAATAACATGTTAAAGCAGGTGTTTTGTGGTGTTTTTTCTGTATGGCAACAATTATTATCGATTTTCCTGATGATGATAGATTACTTTTGGCTGCTTTTTATTTATTTATTTATTTATTTTTATTGGGGTCTTGGAGTTGGATTCAAACTAGTGGGAATATCTATTTGTTCTGATTCCATGGCTCCAATAAAAGCTTTAGGGAATGGAAGATTATTGGAAGAAAGTATAGATGGCCAATTAAAAATGGAAGTCGGATATTGAGAAACTTTTTGATGAATCACTCCTATAACTTTGCTCCCCATGTTGACCAGTGGCATTTCTATCACGTGCATCTCTTTTTTTGCAACATGTAACACTGTACCTTTTTATTGACAACTAAAATCATAAGAAAATTGCCTCAAAGTGGTGTTAGTCATTTGTATATTAAGCCGATATTCACCCTAAAAACCCTTTAAATTATACAGAAGCTTATCGTATGCAAACTGAATTTATTTAACTTTTCCAAACTACAAATTTGCATTACTTTACTGATACAGGGGATTGAAACTCTCACTCAAAAAATAATAGGAAAATATTTGCTGAAAAGCATAATATATACTTTAAAGTGATAGTGAATAAATCACTTTCTTGCTAAGGACGTGGCAGAAAATTTGTGTGTTATAGTGTAACTTTTACCCCTATTTTTAAAACTGAATTAAATTTCTTTTATTTTATTCTGAGCTGTATGATCTTCTCACTAGTCTTATTGATACGTTCTTTAGTTTACAACTTCATTCAGATGCATTGATGCAAAAATGATTAAGATAATATGTTTTAGCTTTGCAGATATACTCTTTGTCAGTCACTTCTCTTTTGTATGCTATCATTAAGCTACTCGAATTGCCTGTGAGTCATCTGTGTGATAGAGCTATATTCTCCAATATTATTTTATCCGTATAGACTTTCTGAAGTATGCAAACAAGTAGAGGTGACATTGATTGAGGAAGAATTAGTGGAAGAACAATTTAAACTTTTTAAGGCATATTTTGAGTAGACAGAGAGAAACTACTATGTTCATAAAAGAGGCACAGTGCAATTAGAATATGTTAGAAAAGTGAGCGGCAGATCAAATATTAGCAGGATATGAAATGGTTGCAAAATATTTGGTTTTATTTGATTTTTCTAGTATAGATGGCCCTAAATCGAAAAAGAATGGCTAAAAAGATTCATTCTAACCGAACCCATGTTTATAGGGAATACGTTTAGCTTGATGTGTATATGATTTTTCTATTCATTTTTCTGACATTTAAGTGGGTTCTTTCAATTTAGCAACTGTTGTCAAAGGCATAGATTCGCAAACAGCTGATCCGAAGGAGGCTCCTATGACAGTAAGTACTGAAATCAAAAAAAGTTGTCAGTAGTACCACTGTCCTATGTGTATTTATTGACTTTATATCTGCCTTTTTTTGCTGTAATTGTCTTCTTGTATTTTACGTTCATATATTCTTCATTCTGTGGGAAATTTATATTTTGTGCTTTGATTATTAGAGTTTGAGAAGGGCAATGTAGAGGAGGTGAATAAAAAACCCACATATTTTGGCAAAATTACATACTTAAATTAATCAAGCAGATCCAGAGTATGAAACAAGAATTGCACACGTAACACTGATTTTGTTTTGTATTAGAACATAGGTATGAATTTGATTTCAAATTTTAAAGCCCAAAAAACCTTTTGGCCAAATTGATGTTATACTGTTTTTTCTAAGTCCTTTCATTTAGTCGTTCAAAGAATGATTAGAAGTGTTTAACGAGTGAAAACAAAAGCAATCAGAGTGTTAAGACAATGTTTTACAAGTTTTTCTAGTATGTAATTGAGTGTTAATCAATGCAACTAGTTTACTAGTGAAGTATGTTAATGATTGTAACATTTTAGCTCTTAATAAAACTGCAAGTGAGTTAACCAAGATGTAAGTAATGTTATCGAAAGTAAATATGACATTGAAAGACAATGGAACATAATGGTTAAGAAGTGATGGAAAATGGGGATGTGCCAACTTGATTATATTTTGTTTGATTCAACAGCCCTACATTCATTTCACCTTTTGGGATTTTCCAAATACTGCTCTAGTAATACTAGCAACAGCCACTGATGGGAATCCTAGTAGCGATATTATTTAATTTACTTTCTAACTTAGATACTTATTATAGGAAACATAACTAGGGTTTTATTCAATAGATATCTACTATTTTATTAGTTGTTTATTTTCCAAATTGGATGCTATTTTAGGAACGTAACTAGGGTTTGATTTAATAGAATTTCCTACTTAAATTAGACTAGTTTTAAACCCTATACGAAGTGGCTTATGCAAATGTAAGGACTTATGCATTGTAATAGTTAGACTTTGATATGCCCTATAAATTCTCTCCTCCTTCTTTTTCTCTTCCTTCTCTCAATCTCGTTCTTGTTCAATTGTGTTCTACGTCAGCCACCTATTACGACGATGTCAAGCCCGATCTTTAATTTGGCCTATCAGTCAAACAATTTTAGTCCTTTTCTCTTCCAGTCGTAAGTACTTATCAATCTCACCTTCACTGCGACAACAACCTGTATTTAGAGTTTTGTCTAATACCCCGATAGTTTTACATACAACTCAGACCAGAAGATAACTGGCATGGTTCGTCCCAGCTCACTAGATGCCTCCAATTAGTCTGATATTACAATGAAGTATGAATGACAGATTTTGCGGCAGAAAACTATGTAAAATTCCACAACAATCGCATATCCAAAGTGTTAAGCTCTGATATGATCAATTGAATGCAAACAAACACATTGGTATTTAAGATATGACGGCACTAGCTAGATATTGATCTTTGTGACATAAGAAGATAAGCTCCAGAACATCTATTAATGACACTGAGTGCTTATGGATATATAAAAGCCCTGAATCAACACTTGTTAAGCCTATCAAGTTAATGTAATGAAAGCTTTATAAAGGAAATTAATAAATGTGAGGTTTCAAAGCCTTCAATTGACTAACGAACAGATTGTGTACATATAAATATACTGGGTATACTAGCTGTTAGGGAGGGAGATAATATGTTTGGAACGCATTTTGGATGTCTGATATTTAATATCAGACTTGTGAAAGTTTATGAAAGTCCGAAGCAGGTGTCTAGACATCAAAAATGTTATCCGACATTCGAAAAGAACTTTCAAGCTTGTGGAATGGGTATAAAACAACAAATGAGAAAAAAAGACTTGAAAGGTGAAATGACTGTATGAAAACGATAATCCAAAGGCAATTGAGTGGTCATTTACTTACAGTTTGGTTCTATCAATGTCTCCTCAATCGAACATTTATATGACATCTTCTTGTCTTCATTTACAAATGGCTAAAATGGTTGTGAATATCTGAGGTTTCTTGTAGTTGGGACTTTCTCTTTAGCACTCTGTTCTTCCGGTCTCTTTGACTTCACCTACTACTGCTTTGATTTGACATGGTTCATCTTTTATTCTCTTAGGTTCTTTTCTGTCTGTTTTCTTCGTAATGCAATTCACAGAGTTAAATTTAGATTTTTTGCATCTTCATGTGATTATAAATCCCTTTGCTCTAGCCTCTAAGCTACTTCATTTCCACCTTTGAGTTTTGCATCACGATCTTTTAATTTTAAATCCATCATTTGTCGTGATTCAATCTCCTGGCTCTTGTTTCATTTAAGACTCAGGTTTCTGCAACACCTTTAGTGCTTGCCTCGTGATTTTCCAAGTGCCTGTTGAAAGGTTCTTCCTTGAAGTTATCATTTTTCTTGTTCATTTTTCAACATGATTTTTTGGACTTCATCTTTAGACTTAAAACTACTTTAAACTTTAAGCTCCTGCCCTTCTGGATCTTCAATTTTCTAGTGCTAAATGTTAAACATGCTCGTTTCAGTCACCTGAAGCTGTTTCAGATGTGTGAAACCTTTTATTTTTTCATTTTAACCTTTTGGATGAACGACGAAAGTACCATTTGGAAATATCTACTAAACAAATATACCTCTGTAGTAAAATAAGTAGCCTGTTTTGATGCCTGCAGCATTGGTGATTTTGGCATTCAAGTTCTTCAGGATGCTTGCATTCTTCTGTGGATCTATGACTCCTTTGGTTATTGTTATTTAATCTCTTCACTTGGTTTTGATCTCCTATCTTCATGTTTTTAACATCTACTCAACAAGCTGGAAGTGAATTGCTCAAGTCAGGCGTATCTTCATTCGGATGTCTATCCTTCTTGTGCTCCTTGATGTCATCCTTGGTTTCATCCTGTCTTCATTTTAGATGTAGATATTTGTTTCAGTTACACCTGTTGCTCTTCATGCATGTTCTTTTCCATAGCCTGGTCAAGACGTCCGTTTCTGGTTTTGTATGTTTTTCTTATTTTCGGATGTTTTTAATGGTCATGGACTTCCGAAACTTTCCTGACTTATTATTTGTCAGTTCTACAAGCATAGAACCAAGACAAGTTATCAATATAAAAATTTGCTCTCTTGGATCATCAAAACTTGATAAATTGAAGGAATCTAAGTCCATAGAAACATTTCTATTTGAAATGGTTACTTTAAATTTTCTTTTCTCAAGTCTGTTGATGTAAGTACTAATATTGTATGTACACTATGTCATATGGCAGGAGGCCTCTGAAGTGAAGCGTAAGACTGTAAAGCGTACCTCCAAATCAGAGAAGGAGTTTTTGGAGTTCACTTTGAAGTACCAACAAGTTCTTGCTGAAAGAGATTCTGGTAGCTGATTGTCATTTTCTTGAGTTTGGATTTGTCTAATCAGCGCATCTTTTTTTTTTGTGACCTTTTTGCATTTTCTTGTAAATGATTATCATTTACACCATGTAACTTTTATTTGTTTAATTTTATTTTTTTGTGAACATTTTATAGTTATATCAAACTGCTTATTTGCATGTGCTTATAATGCGTGTAATTTATCATTATGATTATCTACAGATCCCAAGAAAATTTTTACACTTGATAACAGTTGGTTGATCTTGCATATCTATCTATAAATTTTGGGTAAATCAGCTTCATATTTGCTGACAGCAACCTCTTTTATTAGCTAATCTATATACTCTCTTCTGCAGCCATTGCCGTTAGAGATAAACTCGAGTCATTGTGCAGGGAGCTACAACGCCAAAATAAAATGTTGATGGTATTCTCTTGGTTTATGTGCATATGCTTCAATTTATGTTTTTGTCTAGATATTCAATTGGATGTTTCTCTTGATATTCACAAGCATTCCAGAATAATTATGACCATTTTGCTAAATTAGATCGTATTGTGGAGCTCTACTTGTAAAAATGAAGATGTAGAGATTCTTGGGGGTTAAATTCACCGATGGTTACCCAATTTTATACTTAGTGCCACCATGACCATTCAATTTGATTTTGTTTTATCATGGCCACCAAACTTTAGACTTAGTGTCACCATGACCACCCGATTTGATTTTATTTCATTATGACCAGACAATTTCATATAACGTTTTACCATGGTCACCTGATTTCATATAACAATTCATTATGGCCATTCAATTTATTTTCACCATTTTCACTAATTTTAAAATGGGTAAAACGGTAACTTTGTATTATATATATAAAATAATTAAAAAAAAAACTTATTTAAAAAACTTACTTAATAACATAAAATAAAAAATTATGTAAAAAACGTTTTCAAAATAAAATAAACACTTACTTTAAAAAAATGTTTTTGAAATAAAATAAAAACTTATTTAAAAAAAAGTTCCTTAAAAGAATAAAAAATTATTTAAAAAAATGTTTTCAAACTTTAAAAAATATATAATGCAAAGTTACTATTTTACCCCTTTTAAAATTAATGAAAATGGTGAAAAGAAGTTGGGTAACCATAGTGAAATGTTATATGAAATTGAATGACCATGATGATATTAAGTATAAAGTTGGGTGATCATGGTGAAACATAATCAAATTGGGTGGTCACGGTGTCACTAAATATAAAGTTGGGTGGCCATTGGTGAATTTAACTCGATTCCTGAAGATGCGGTTGATTACTTTTGGTAGAGCTTAAACGTCTAAGCTTTCCACTTTTTTTCCTTGAATCTTGATATAATTTTCTCCCCACATGTGCAATAACGGAAATTGGAAATACTAGACTTCATGTTCAAGCTGATTTAGAGTATGGCAAAGCTTTTCTAAGATTACAAGCTGGTCAAACATCATTTTTATCCCCAAATTCCATTGGATTCACAACTTTTATCCGTTTTTTATCTACATATTTCATAAGACTTCACAACTTTTAATCTACACAAAGCTTTACCAAACATACACTTAATTATATAACTCACTTTCACAGGTATTTGCACCTTAACTAGATTCTGTAGGTGGTGGCCTATGTAGTTCAATTTTTGGTTATGGGTCCTGCCATTCCTCCTTTTTTAATTCCTTACCCCCCCTCCCTCAAATATTTTCAATATCCACTATCTTAATTTTGTCGTGAGAAAGGAAAATTCATATGCAACGGTTTCTGGAGGAAGCAGTGCACTTAAATCATTATCTGACTTCCATGCTATGGAGGAAGCAACGAGGCCTGCAGATTATTTTACATTCTCAGATGTACAGCAAAACATATAGTATCAATTTGCTAACATCTCAATGCATGCATTTAGTTCTACATATATTGGATGATAGATCCTAAAATAATCAGTTTTCTTATCCCCAATCCTAATCTTGAATAAGCCTTTAGTGCTATATACTAGGGAACCACATTTCTTTTGTTCTTTCTGTTCCATGCTTTGTTGAAATGAGAAATAGGTCCTACTATGTATAAACCTGAAGGTATCCACCCCTGTCCTGTCCTGTGCTTTTGTATTTCATTATGTAGATTAACCATCAACCAGAATGGTGTCTATTGTACTTTTGGATTGATTTGCTTGTGTATTGTCTCAGTTATGATGAAGATCTTCATATTTGTGTGCTGGATTAGAAGTTCATTGGTGTTTTTTTTTTGTTGTTGGTGGTGGTGGGGGGAATTCAAGTAGAGGACAATTTAAATTCTTAATGTGTTCTTTTCATATATCCGTTCGTTAATCTCGTCGGTACTTGCCCATAATTCTTTGGGTTCCATCTTCAAAATCCTGTGATTTTGGTTCAGTTTTTCGCTGATTTGTGAATCTGGCAGTATGTAACTGAAAATGTATTATAAGTACAATGGTTGTCTTCTAAATTTGGCAGATTTGTGAATTGTTATTGAAAAATGTAATCAAGGAACGGTAATTTGCCTTCTAATTTCATGATTGCTTGTTATGATATTGTAAGTTTTAGTGCTCAAAACCTTTGGGAAGGTAATTAATAGAGTATTAAATATCGAGTGTTCAAAAGAGTTAACGCATAGCTGTTTCCATTCTTACTCCTCTTACTAGATCTAGTATGCAGTTGCAATTTTGATCGATAGACTATTTGTTTTTGACTTTTGATTGGTTGTTTTGGTCATGTGGTAACCAATGAGATCTTCTCATCATTTTGCAGGACGAATGCAAACGAGTATCAACTGAGGGCCAAGATCTGAGATTAGATCTATCAAACAAGTTTCAGGATGCAATCAAGGTTGCGAGATTTTGAAGTATAAAGTTTTTTCTACTTCATTTCAGCTAATAAATTCCCATCACATTCTGTTTAATCCCTAATTTCTGCATTATGATCTATTTATCGTTGTTCATCATCATTGTCATCCCCATAATCATTACTAACAGCATTACAGCTGGAAAATTTGACGAGTATGCATATACATTTTACTGCAGTACTTGTGTTTTAATTGTCAACAGTTTTGAATTGCTTAAACTAATCAGCCCACTATAGCTGGAAAATTTTGACTTGTATATTGATTATATACAGATATGAAGATAACTTATGGGGTGCAAATAAGGAGATGTTGACAGTAGTTCTAAAATGGGAGGAAAACAAGAGAATAAGAAAGTTCTATGTTGTTTTGTGCACATATATGATGACATATAGCAACTTCAATAAAACCAAAATATACTAGGTTTTGCATATTAATATATAAATTGATATGCTTTTCTACTGTTAGAAATTAAGTTATATGGCAACGACTTAGTTAAGTGGTATAGGTGTTGGGGGAATGTTGTTAAATATTGTTAATTCTTTGAGTAGAATTTTTATTCTGATTTGTTAACTTCTGATATTCACATTGTTGAACTTGGCATTTCCCCCTTCCATACTCTTGCTTCCTCTCTTATCTACCACTCTCCCTCTCAACATGGTTACATTTGTTAGCATGTTTTTTGTTTCCTATTTTTGAGGCATCCCTTCTCTTCCTAGTCCACTGCGATTAGTCGGATTATCATAGTTCTTCTTAAGCACTATTAGCTGCTTCCACTTCATTATTACTGTTAGTCACTCAAACTTGGTTCCTTGTAGTGCATAAAAGATGTAAAATCTTGTTTTAGTTTAACAGTATGGTGCGGAAGCGTTTAGAAATTCTTGTAATAAGAATTAAAAATAAGAATTATATTGGAATAATCTTGCTTGGTATTGATATTTGATTGATTGATTAAAAAGTGTATAATACCCCTATATTTATAGGCAAAATTATCCCTAATACTATTAATAAAAGGAAACTAAAATAAGAAAAC